AGACGACTGGGGGAATTCTATCAGCGCCAGTGGCCTTATGCAATTTCAACAGTTTGATCTCACATTCGACTTCTGCTCGTGTGGGCCGATCTAAGGGGACGGCCCATGGAGTAGGGCACTTTAGATGCTACGCAGATGAGACCTCTCTGCTTGTGGTTAGCACAATCTGATCCGGCAATCTTGTTGAAGATGGGTACGATATCCGCTATACACCAATCAAACGGGATTGCCCCGGTGGTCCGAACCTCATGCAGGAGAGAAGTTACCTTCCGAACAAGTGATGGACCTCCATCTATGAAAAGAGCCGAAGTGAGTTCGTCTGGACCAGGGGATTTGTAGTGCTTTAGGAGGTGAAGCTCATGAGCAACCTAAGCCGCAGATGTTTATGAAGCGTCTACACACCAGAGAGTACTCTGTATCCTTGCATGGGAACACTTCGGTACTGCTGGCCATTTATACTGTTGCTCAGGATGCTCGGTCCAACTCTCAAGTGGGCGTTCCGGACAGTACCTTGGCTCGCCATTGGTTTTGCACAAAACTTCGCTTGCCACCGGCCTTCTGTCATCAGTGGGTCGGATCAGATAGAAAATATTACTGAAATTCCTAGAGGTAGCCGTTTGCTCCATCTCAATGATTCGCTGCGTCCACCGGGCCTCGCGATCCTCTCGGAGAAGCGCTTTGGATGCAGCTTTAGTGGTTGTGCATAGTCTATGATACTCAACGCCAGCTGGAATTGCCCAACGAGCTCCGAGAAGTTGGATATTTGCGCAATGCTCTATTGGTTGACAGGACTATTTGTCAAACCACAGACCTGGGGTACAGGGTTGTACAGGGCGCGGCAAATGTGTGTCTTGTATGTTTTAAAGTCAAAGCACGAGGATCTTCGGATATTTGAGGCCAAATCATCCTGAAACGCACTGCGGACGTTTGGGGCAGAAATTTTAGCCACTGTAAGCCTTTTCCGACCATATCGTTTGGAGCCACGTAAAGCGATCTTGGCACATACGAGTGCATGATCCGAAGTGAGATAAGTACTCTAGACTGATTTGCAATCCTGTATCCAGCCCAGGCAGCGATAACTGATGACGATGTGGTCAATCTGCATCGATGGCTGACCAGGAGACGGAGGCCTCCATATGGCGCGTTGGCGCCAGGATCGCCTAAAGCTAGTGTTCGGCAGGAAGAGGCCGTGCTCAGCGTGGAGTCGTAGTGGGCGATCATCGTTGGTTGTTCTGCGAGTGCCGTAGCCATGTCGAACACCCAGTTCACGCTCTTCAAGCTAAAGTCTGAAGTCGGATCACGCAAAGTCGGCAGTTTACAGGGATCCCGTCTAGTAACGTGGCCTCAGCACATGTGCTTAACGCAATCCCCACACCGGTAAGACCAGTGGCTTCATTGGCTGAGTCTTTGGATAAGCGCAATGTAACAGCAGAGCTCGCAGACGGTGAAATCAGCCGTAGCGTCGTGCTATTGTTCTGTAATCGGGGTTCAGTGAGGAAGCAGAAAACGAGGTTAGTAGTCTCAAGCGTGCTTGCATGCGCTGCTTGTGACCCGATTTGCAGCAGCGTCCAGACTTTAACGGTTTTCAGGTTGAATTGGGAAAGGAGTGCTAGAAAAGGCTTGGCAGTACCACTTGGCGGCGCACACTCGGACCTAAATTCCTGATTCCATTGGCAAGAACACTCGCCTAAGGCGGCAAGGTGTTGTGGACTAGTAAACAGAAGGGACAACCGAAGATGGGGAGTTGAACAAACGTGAATAATGTTATCGAATTGTGGTGCGGTTGAGCTGGATATGAAGTGTTGGGCCGTCAGCACGACGGCAGAGGGTGGCATTAGCAAAGAGCAGAGAGAGAGAGAGAGCGGAAAGTGGTTGAAACTTCGATCCATAAGTTGTGTAAGCATGTAACTACCCGGTTGCCCATGCCGATGGATAGGGTTGACTTAATGGACCGCAGCCGGAGCCATTGGCCTTAAAGACCTGACCACCCAAGGCTTTTCTTTGGGAGCCGCCTAACACAAGGAGGATACTTTTGTATAGGGACAAACTATTCAGGACGCCAAAGAAGCGCGAATGAAGCAACATGGAGGCCAGGCGAAAAATTCTGGACCAAATAGCTCGCCGAAGAGCATCAAGGCTGTCGACAGCCAAGTGGCTCATACGCTTTTGTAGTACCCGGTAGCCATCGAGGTAGTTCATTCGCCCTCCGTTGAGCACTCACTTCTGGTCGCAGAAGTGAGTGGTCAGTAAATCTACAGCCGGTCACATTGGCTTTGACACAATGTCTGTGGTATTTAACGATGAACCAGGTGACCAGCACAGGACCCCCGCGCGCTCTAGGACGCTGACGCTGGTTGTCCACGACTGCTTATTCATCTCAACTGCGAACTACCGAGACTTGCTCACAGTTACCTCCGCGAGCAAGGCGTTCCCCGATCAGTATCTTGGGACGCTTCCGGTGACACACAACTCCACCCAACCCAAGAGTAGTCAGTTCGATTCCGGCACGCAGTCATGTGCTGTACAACCAACCAATTGGGTGGATCCATGTGGCCCAACAAAAAGAAGCCATTGGATTCGACTCACGCAATATGAGCTTTGTGATCCGGCTGTACAGACGCAAATACGGTGCCTTACACTTTCCCCGTATCCTTGTTTACCTTGTAACGATCAGGTTGTTCCAGCACAGTACTGATATTGCTGAAGTACATCCGCATCAGGTTCTGAGATCAATTTTGTATAGTACCGTAGCTAATTTTCGGCTTTGCTTTGGTTTGCCCCGGCAATTTTACGAGTTCTTTAAACCCTAAGCAAAGTTTCTGCTAACATCTCGCCCAGTTTAAAAGACATCGGTGGACCTAATCATGTCGATGACGAAATTAGCAATCGCAAGAACAGGAATGCCACGCATGCGTACGGTCTTTGACGCGGAACAATCGGGAACATTAGATGCCGGTTACTACACTAGAATGACCCATTGGCTCATTGACCTGTAACCTTATTATCCACTAACTTGGCTCCCTTCTCACATTCTTCATCTTAAGTTACCGTGAAAACTAGCGTAATTGGGTACCGGTTTACCTCTCCTGAATTGGCTCTTGTGTCAGAAGAGAAAGGTAGCCACAATAAAATATCTACAAAAGGTTAACCGTACTTTTACCTTCCCAGAATTACCGGCAGGTTGTTTTCTAACTAATGAGTCGTGGAATTTTTGATGAAAAATTGCTGATTCATCCCAGAAGTTTACAGGCCTGGTCGTCCTGCGACCAATCCGGAAATCACCAGACTGTTGTTTCGCCTATTTGGGGCGCCTTACTGGTGCACAGTCTCAAGTTTTATCAAGAACCAAATCCTTCCCTTCGAGTACGCAAGACAAGAAACGTTCCTTTACCTTATTATACTTCCGCCCTGATAGTATAGTCTATCAAAACACAACTCGATGGCGCGTTATTTCAGTTGCTTTACTCGATGTAGTCCAATTCGATTGGAAAGTACACCAGCTCGAATTAAACAGTGTACTTAGCAGTCTTATTAATCACGTAGCGTTATGACAACCTACATCTGTGTTTACTCAAACCGCTTGGTGGGCATGCCAAAACCCGATTTTGTTATGCCATTTTTAGGTTAATTCTTGTAACATGCTCCGGTCATCGTAAGGGACTTGTCCAGTACTTGAATTTTTGCCAATGGTTAATCACTGTTCATTCATGCGTGCGTCTTTTACCATGCTTAGGTTCACTCGCGTTCGCTGGCGCCCTTTGGGTCACGGGCTTTTGCGATAGTATGTCAGTTACCATAAACCTAATATGCAACTATTCCGCTGGAAAGCGTCCTGCACTTAAAATTACGCTCACTGGGTTTCATAGTTCACGACGAACGGGCGCCTGGGTAATTACGTCTGAATAGACGAGTAGCGTAGGACAAGTAATCATTCAGTGAGCTTATGCGGTGTTTGCACACTGTCGCTTGGCATCACTTGGTTTATACAGACCGCGTGTGTAACCAAAGTTGTACTAATAGTTCATACTGCAGTTTATTGGGTTGTCAAGCCAAGCTTTCATGGGCATTTATCTCCGGAGCGACGTCAACTGTATCACTTTACAACCCACTAGTCAGCTGACGAATATTGGAAGCTGACTGGATCCAATGGAGTAACGCTTTATAACAAGTATATAACTAATGCTTGGCAAGTAATTGTAGGCTGGTTAGGGCGAAGATTACAGTGTTAACTAAAAACGTCTGAAATACCTGACTCACCAAAAGGTATGCATTAGCCCAAATGGGAGTATTTCTGCTTACAGTTTAACGGGAGTATGATACGGTTCACTGTTCTGCACCAAGACCGTCATTTGATGGTCGCGGGTAATATCACATAGTGCAAATGTGTCAGTGTGTCGTCCGTCGTTTGAATAATATTAATGGCTTAATATGGTGATTTCTCATTCCGCTACCCCGTCTCCGTATGCATTGTTTGAATACGGTTTTTATGCGATACTGTCAACTAAATTCGCTTATTCTGAATACCACAAAGGCATGTCACGTGGGTGTCTCACGTCCACTAATGTTTAGAAGATATGTATCATTAGGGACATAGTTAAATATGGTTGCAACATGTACCCAGGGTCTTTTGAGATCCACTGACCAGGCTTGCGTTTGTTAGTTGTTGCTGTCTCAGGACGCAATCATATATACCAATCAATGACACTAAATATTTAGCCGAAGACCTCTGTTCCCGTTACTCGCATGTTATTTTGAATTATGAAGCCACGAATGTTCGGGTGACGGATCCAAACCGCTTTCGAGCTAAGCAGAGGATTGGGACCATCACCAGAAAAGTTAAACCCGCACTGCAATCAAAGTTATTGATAGGCGGAGTTCTACGCAAGGTGTTTTCACGCAACATGTTATGGGATTTCAAGCTAACGTATTTGTTACATTTTGAAACGTCAAATTTATTTGTTCTAATTAGTTTGACCGTTTCGTTTCAACTTTGTAACCAGGTGAAAGCATTTAATAAAAGAAGGTTAGCTGCCTATATCCGGAAAGAATACGGCATCGAAATTGACCCGAAATCGATGTTTGACGTTCAAGTAAGCATAAATGAGCTGCACTTTGATTTTGCCAAACTTTTACCCCATCTGTGTCTTCGTCGTACCTAACTCGCAATCGAGTGTTCCGATTAGAACCGAGAAGTTTAGCAGTGCAATAATTTTTTCATCATTTATTTCAGTTGCACCAATAAAAGGCCATCTAGGAGGAGTTGTACCTGTGTCGTGTCTTTCATGGGTGTCACCGATTAGCATTTTGGCGAAGTATTTTGGCCCTATGTGCGATCATGTTCTATCAATGCACACTGTATGGAATATGGCCGCAATCGCGAAGTAAGCTATGGGGAAGTCAATAACAAAGGTTATCGTCAGAATTCGTCAAAGAGAAACATGGGGATACTAACAAGAATCCTTTAGTTTGCAAAGGCAGCAACGCTGGATTATACACTCATGTGGTATTTTGAATGTTTACACTAAAGACTTGCCAGCTGCACATTTGCAGTGGGTTCTGAGTCTCCTGACCAAAGTTGGCTGGTGACGGGAGAATTTCGCAAAAAATACTGCAATAACGTACAATTAATCAAGGCGATTCCATTTGATACGACGGTATTTCGGAAGCTTAGGAACTCGTGGCGTTATTGATTAAATGTGCATACTTCACTGAGATCCCAACCTCTATAAGCTAACTGTACCTGGTTGTGTGTAGACTGGTTGTGTAGACTTGGCACCACTCCATCTACTTGCAGTTATTCATGCTGTTTCTCCACTGCATAATTGCTGTTTAGGATGATGCTCATGTTAGGTATTTGAGTGATGCCACTGTCTGCTAAGTACCACCACCTCACGAGTGTTTTGTTAGTCCCACAGGCTGGGCACTGCACATGGATTCTGCATTGGGAGTACATGGCTCGGTTAATTGGACTGATCTCCTTTCCGTTTTGTAGGCATCGGCTCTGGAGTTACTTGGGAACATATTGAGGCTTGTGACTTACATGGAACCAGAGTTAAATATGAGACATGTGTTTCATTTGAATCACTTTCTCGATGCAAGAAAGAGACAGTGCATGCGAATTGTTGGCCGTTTGACTGACGTCGTCAGTTGCAAACGCAAAACAAGTGTCAAATAGCTTGAACAGTGACTAAAAGCGTTTCAGTGGTTAAGGCAGTCGTAGGCACAATAACAGGGAATGGATAAAGGGATGAAGCGGAAATATGCATAATCGATCACCAAAGGTTTTATAATGACTTGTCACCAAGTGAACTCGTTCAGTTCATTCAAGGGGCTTCTGTACAACAGAATTCGGCAGCGGTTGGCAACTAATAAGGCTTTGCTGACAAAGCCGAATCGTCCGCTGTTATTGACCCAGAAACAGCCGATGTAACCAGTTAGATTACCTTGGTCCTGGTTTTGTAATTAACACCAATCACCATATAAACCTCTCCGTCTCATTAGGATTCTAACATACTTTATTTCTTACGCCTTTCATGCAAACAACAAATTTGTAACTGATGAGAGCAATCGAAATGCTAGCACATCGCAACTTTTGTTTTATCTACTTTGAGTACATAGCACAACTAAGCGTGATAATAGATGCGCGACGAAACAAATCCCTCAGGATGGCAATGAAGTGTAGTGGACGCACAATATTCTAACAACAGAGGCGACGGGATTGGCGAGTAAGCTCTACAGATTACTCCAGTAAATGTGCGGCATCCGTTGCAATAACTGATCCATCGGTGCGAATGTCATGGGTGACTTATCTTGCTCCTTGACTTCCGCTGCGCTGAGCGAGAATGTTAACAAGACGCTTACTCTTCTGATGACGCCACTTGGAGCACCGTTTCTAGAAGACCGGTAATCGTTGTTGGCGTGACCGTGTGCAACAAAGACATTTTTCTGTTCAGTAATCGTACGTATGTCCCCCAAATTTAACTTCTGTGATATCCGTATTGTGAGTGTGTCGGCCGGCGCCGAAACAGTCGTGGCCCACGTAGCACACTTACTGGACTTGTTCCTTCGTGTTTACACTGGGACTGCGTGGGTGCATGGCAGATGGTTCGTCAACGGCCCTTCTGTAGATATAGGAGCTTCGTAACTATTTTTATTAATAATAATAGAAAGATCTGGAGCCGAAAGCCTCTGTGCTGTCTGACTCTGCTTCCAGCAGCCGCTTTGGGATTGGCCGGAAACCGTAGTCGTGAATAGCCATAGCAGGCCAGTGATTACAAATAAACTATGATAGCCCTGATCTACAGTTCTCACAGCTCCATTCGCACACTCTGTATCGAGTGTAAACCCGAAGGAATGAGACTGGAAGGCAAGCAAAACGGACGCCAGGACTAAATCGGAGCTCGTCCATGTCACGTGGTTGCTTAACGAACGCTGGCTACGCTCCATTACTCTAACTGGTCCTTTAAACACTCGCATACACACACACACATCTTAAGTACTTGTAATTTGTATCACGTCAGAGGTAAATTATGCCGTCCCGTCCGCAAGCTGCCTTCTTCCTTCTTGGTTAAGGAACGATATACGTACTACTAGAATCGAGAGGTGACAGTCCACACCCCTTCAACACGAATATCACTTATATGGGATTAAGAAAGAATGCACACCAGACGTACACAGGGCGCTGGCTAGACTGTAGCCCGTTCCACATTGGATGGAGCGGCACTTCGAGCCTAGCACGATCAGAAAGGCTTTACGCCATGTCTTCTGCATTAAGGCTTAGCAGTCTCCTGGAGCCAATGATCCAGTTGGTTGCGTTCAATTGTTTGACACATTGACAAACCCTTAAGTGCAGTCAAACCTGGGATACCAGCCGGAAAGTGTTGTCAAACATGTGGCAACGGAGGCGCATAGGTATAGTACAATCCAACGGCAGATAGGATGATGCATATGTGAAACATCTAGCGCAATATCGGTCCGGGTAAGTGGATGAAACCGGAAGCACCACAATTTTGCAATGTTGATATTTACCCATTAGGCTTAGCCCTCGACTCATCACCATAGTCTTCTCAAGACCATGCTGATAATTCACAAGTTCGACTATGACTGAGATACATGGCTAGGCACACTTTGTTAACAGGTTGGTCTGCGTCGGTACTCCCTGGCTACATCTTGGTGTTTGTGTTACCGATACAACGGTCCTATCTCGTGAACTTGAGCAATGTCGTTCTTGATGTGACCAGGCCATTGGCTCCGATTCGCTGTCAGTTGCTCCCAACACAAAGTCTACATATCACAGCTTTAATTTGCCTACACTCCTCTTACTTTCACCTAGTTGACCACACATCAGGCGTTTCGGTATTCTCGTCACACTGATACTTCTTATATAGATAAGACATCTGAAGCGTCAGCATGAAATATATTCCATACCTATGGAATCGGAGAAACACTTCAGTGTTAGGTACACTGTCACACCACTTGATGCACAGAATTCAATGCAAATTTCATTCGCATATAGCGTCCAAGTTTTGGTATCGTAGAGAACCATGGAACAATGGTGTGTTGCAGGTATAGAAAGCAATTCTTAACCAGTCTCGTTGGAGAGAACGAATAAAGAAAAAAGCACGATAAAATGAAAAACTTTTTTGGTAGACACACTATGGTGTTCACATTTAGACACGCGTTGACTAGCCGAGAAGCTGACATGATGTTGACATAATAAGTAAAATCCTCCTGGTTAGAATATTGGAAGCATAGTTAAAATGCGTTGTGTAACCTCCCGGCTAACAGGTTATAAAATGAAAGGGAACTTGGACAGCGCTTCATCAACTCGTTTCCTAACTATCCTTAGAATGGGGACAGAAACAACACAAGATGGGAGAATGTTCCACGGCTGAAACACTCCAAGGGAGAAGACATTTCAATGACATTCCAGCTGGTCAGACTGTATTGGCAAGTTTAAATGTGGTTCAGTTTCAGTAGCTGGCGGTAAATGTGGTCGTGGTTCTTCAGGATATGGTAAAGCATTTAACTACTCACGCAAGCGCCGATATCAATTACTGTACATTCTTAGGGACTTCAATCTAAGTTGGTGGGACAGATGGTTGCCCTTTGTTGAGAAGTCTCGAGCGCAGCAAGATTTTGTTTCTGCCCTTGGTGCTCCGCCGAGACGGCGTATCTCACGTGCGGTCGCACATGGGAATTAAGCATTTGTGGGAAGATTGAGGGGTCAAACTAACCGAACGCTCTGCGGAAAGAGTCGGCGCACTGATACCAGTTCTCGACGTCAACTATAATGGGTGTGCACAGCCGAGATCGTCTTGGACTAATATCCCGAGGTCACGCTTCTGAACAACTTCCCGCAAGGTGTGTTGACGAAGTTTGTACACTCTCACCTGTTGACGACACAAGTGAATAACCTTGCAGTTAGCCGTATTAAATTGGAGTACGTTCCTCGTCGAGCCTTCGTGAACACCATCCATGGCATGTTGGAGGAAATCGTGATCTGAACAGCTCTTAATTGCTCGCCATATCATCACATCCTCGAGGGAAAGCAAAAAATTACACACGACAATATGTCAAACCGTTGATGAATGCCAAGAATAAGCCTGGTCCCAACACTGAACCCTGTGCATAACCGCACTCCACCTAATTCGTTACGGAGAATAATTATCTAACACGCGATTGAAGCCCTCTTTGGGGACGAAAGTTGGAAATTCAGCCAAGGAAAGGATCCTTGTTTTCCTAGCGTCTGAGAAGTAGGGCACTTTGATCCAGGCGATCGAAAGCTCTGGAAAAGTCCAGGTAGACGACGTCGATCCCGACCCCACAATCAGCCTCTTCCTGCCAACTAGCTTGTGTGACCAGCAGGTTAGTGGTGCATGACCTACGGAAGTTACACTACTCCGGTGCCAAGATGTTGCATTATTCCAAGTAGTCTATTGGAGCCACAGCGAAGATCGCCTGCATCGTCTTCGTCAGCACAGGGAGGAGAGTCACTGAGCGATAGTTTGAAGGGTCTGAACGGCCGCCACCCTTAAGAATTGGGTTTGAATGCCCTGTTTCCACGTGGTTAATACTTACAGTTCATCGA